AGAAAACAGGTGACGGATAGAAGGAGGGCCAGGAGGAGAGAATATAAATGAAAGGTGGTCCTTAGAAAGGGGAAAAAATAACCTCCCCTCAATCAGTCTTATGCCCTCTCCCTCATCCTTCCTTCCTAAGAGAAGGACAGAAAGAATGGGAAAAGGAGTGAAAATTTTGGTTTTGAAAATCCCACCTTCTCTATAAAAACACCCTCCCCATTATATTGTTGTTGTAATCTTGTTTTGCAGTAGTCATTGGCACATCCATATTTATTTCAGATGGAAATATATATATATATATATATATATATATATATATATATATAAGGGACATGAAACACTGTGTTCATCTAGTGATTTATGCTTGCTTGCTTCGGAAATTGCAGAAAAACAGTGAACCTCATGCTATGCTGAAAACTATGAGAAACTGTGCTATTTCATCTCCAGCTTGCTGCCTCCTTTTAGCAGAGAGACTATCCAGCATTGTATTGAAGGATTTGTCTCTCATCTATTTTCTAGACTTGGGTTGCATGAGAATGAATTTCCAAGAAAACTACATAATTTAAAGGCAGTCAATTGGAAGGAAAGAAGTCAAAAGTAGCCAGGATAATCCATAACCTGCAGGTCAGTCTCTGAATAAATCAAGAGGAGGTTCTGCATTAAGGAATTAGAAGTGTCATTCCCAACTTGTAATTCCTGCAAATAACTGGATTCTACTCAAGCTTAATTCAAAAGCTAGAATTCAAGGGAGGCCTATGGGAACATCACCTATTTTGAATCAACTCCAAATATCTGGAGCAAAGTAAGACGTTAATCTGAACACAGCAACTTTCTAAACTCCCTGCACTGGTAAGACACTAGCTAGAAAAAAAAATTCATGCAATTATACTGAGAGAAAAAGCAGCCGATTAAAAAAAAAAAAAGGAGAAGAAAAGAAAGAACATGTTTATGCTACAAAATTAAACATCACATCAGCTTTTCTGAAATACTTTGGAACTTGAAAAAGTAAACAAGCATACAAAATGTATTTTGAAGACGTTTCATTCAAGTGTAGGTTAATATGTTCCATGTGCCACTTTGTCTTTTGAAAGAATACGCTGCAAAATAAACTTATTAAAAAATACTTGTCAAAAACAGCTGTCCCCAAATATCTTCATTACATTTTCAGAATACAAGCACAAATTAATTTAGCACTATAAAGAGAAAATGTTCATTGTTTTTTTCCTAACCTCAGTTGCTAGAAAAACACGGCACTATTTGTGCCACACACTTCATTTTCATGGAAGAAGCCCGATCTAGGTTTATAGAAAGACGTGGTAGAGGGAGAAGCTAAAGCCTCGATCTAGAAGCATCTTCACCAGGAACCCCTTGTGCGACCACACCCCCTACCATCTGACCACCAGAAACATGAATCTGATACTGCATCAGAAGGGCTTTAGCAGGATGCTTTCATAATCCAGATATAAAATACGACTGGCTAAACATATAAACAGAGTGGAAGAGATGGAAGATAAAGTCACTGCATACCAAGCTCAAGAGACTCCAGGAAGCCATCATAAAGTTACGATCTGTCTATCCACCTTTCCATAATCCTGACTAAAACGTACCTAGTTTACAACCATTCCCAAAAAGACAGCTAGGCAATCCCATTTACCATATTAATAAATCATAAGCAGTCCCAAGACAGATACAGGCAATAGAGTTAACAGTAGCTAATGGTGACTGTTGTAAAGGGGCGTGGGGGAGAGGGGAGAGGAGTGGGGATGCAGGCAGTGGGAAAGCCAGCACATCTTAACCCTGTCACCGTCGAAGTGTCAGTTACCAACCAGCTGCTCTAACTACTGACAATCTCTCCCTTTCTCCAAAGCTATTCCTTCTCAGTCTTATGTTTGTGTGCCTAATTAGTAACAAAAATTAATACAGGCAGGCCCCCATTAGTGGTTATTAAATGCATTTTTATTTTATGATCTTGTTTTCAGAATCCGAAGAAAAATGCCTAATGGGCTATTCGGGTTCTTGGTCTCCCCCATACAAGCTTTTGTCCAATAGTGGAGGGGTCAGGGTCAACATTCTATTTTCAATCCTCTGGCATGTTTTGAAATGAAACATAGAGTTAAATTATACATTTGCTCTCTATTCTAGACTGGATGCAATTGATTTTAACTGACTAAATTATCTGATCTCTGCCAAGAATTTTATTTCATTAAGAAAATGATATTATGGAGCATCTGAGATCATAGAGCAGACTAAACATAATGCCAAAGGAGTTCTGAGAGTGCTGCACACTGAAGGTTTGATTATTTGCAGATGGAATATGAAAAAAAAAAAAGAAAGAAAGAAAAACCAGCAGGTCCCAAGGGGAAGCCCAACCAATCCTGGTACCACCAGGGCCTCCATCATAGCACAAAGCCAAGAAAACAACTCATCTAAGCTACAACACCTCTTTTTAAAAGCACTAATCACATTTCTCCCTGGAAAGTCATATTTAACTGCCACGATCCAAAACAAAGGAGGAAGAGGAAATGTTGGTGCCACAACGAGCTCCAGCACGTCAACTGTCATTGCTGACACGATTTGGCTAGTAGTCAAGCATTCACCAAGAAACTGATTTAAATCAATCTCCTTTGGGGGAGCCGATTGTTTGGTATGCGCAACAATTGATGTAGGATCAATCAGTAGACATGAGATCAATTAAAAGCAGCTTAAGTTGGTGACGAGAGACAATTCACACAACTTGAGTTAGATCTCCATTCATTTCAATACTCACAATGCAATTCCTAAGCTTCCTTGCAAAGCAAAAAAAAAAAAAAAAAAAAAAAGCTACTATCACTCTACACTGTCTAGCCAGCCTTTAAGTAGTTCCACTTTTAATTAAAAAAACACAGTGCACCCTTTGTTGGCACAGATAGTGTGGTCACTTTTAAAGACCATAGTTATTTCAGCCAGTAACTTGGCATTTTTAGAAGGGACATCTGTTGAGGGGAAAAAGATGGGGGGGCAGGGAGGAGGGATAAACTTAATGCATTTTTTTTAACAACCACCTTACCAATTTACATGTGCCGGAAAACATTTTATTAAATTGTAAGGTTGATTTGGAGAAATTCAGTTACTGCACACTTCAGAATTGAATTTATAAATGCCAGCAGACGGCCACACGGACAACAATTACTACCCCAGATTCCTTGGCCAAGCAGGCTTTGAAAGAAGCAGGTTCTGCCTCCCACACCTAGCAAGGCAGGGCTCTGTTGGGGAAGGCTTGCAGTATCGCGTTTGGCCGCAGGAGTGCTGCAATGCCATTCTCCAGCAGGCAGCACGCTCAGCCCACTCCACTCGACCACAATGGGTCAGGCGGTGTGCTGCAGACAGCAAACACCCCAGTAAAAACTCCTCTAAGAAACCAACAAGAATTTGCCAGAGGGCTTCGTATCCTTCTATGTATTTTTGCAAACTTTAAGCACTTTGGCCTTTCAATGAAGTAGACTGCAGCTTGAATTTTTCCAAAGGGGAAGCCTCTCCAAAAACTGAACCTCAAAATTACCAAACATTACAAAATTACCTGCTCTGCCGAATGCTACCTGGAAAAGAAATGGTGGCGTGGAAAAGCAGTAGTTGGGAAGCAGTGACAGAAAGGGGGCTTTTTCTAGGCTGACAACAGTAATACCAAACGCTCGGAGATTTTTCTGTTACTTTTGTGTGGGATAATTTCTGAAAACTAGTAGTATTTTCCAAACGACAAAAATGAAACAGCGACAACGGAGAGCGCGGACTCTAAAAGTTTCCAATTACCGTGAGTTCTGTGCGGTGACAAGTGAACCTCGAACTCTGGCCCTAGGAGACAGCAACTGAACAACATCCTAAAAAGCCACGAAAACATAAAGCTCAAAAAGCCTTTCCCACGATCTAGACAGAGGACCAGGGGCTCCAGGAGTTATAAACAAATCACATCACAGGCCGGGAGAGACATGTATATCCCAGCCGAGTAAAGATCCCGTGAACCAACCTCAGGATAAAGCCTGCGCTGGGCGAAGACCAATAGCTCCCCATTAGGCTTCCGCAAGACTGTGGCGCACTTTCCCAGCAAGAGTTATTCAAGGTGGGGGAGTGGGTGACTGTGTGTGTGTCCGCTGTGGTTTACGTTGAAATCCACCAGAAGACTTAATTGCGCCTAACAGCGCTCGCCCTAAAATGCAGGCCAATGAGCTACAACCCCCAAAGGACTAGAAAGCAGAAACACGTGCGCACACTGAAATCTACAGGAGAGGTAATTCTCAGAAAGCTTTCTGAGAGGCTCCCACTCGCTTTTCACGCTGGGCACACAAGCTAAAGAACGCAGGGAGAAGTTAAAAAGCCGCGAGTGAATTTCATTGAGAACAGAAGCCAGTGGCAACAGCTGCATTTGAGGAGAGCAAATGGATGGGGGTAGAGTGGGGTCTGTTAAAAAATAATAATAAACCTGCTAGGGAACACTCTTTCCAGTGTTCAACTTGGTGACCAGCTCAAAAAGTTCCCATTTCAAGTTCTAGTAAGAGAGAGGACTGCTGCCCTTTCCCTGGGGGAAAAAAATTAACAGATCCTCCATCTCGGCGCCCCTCCCCAGCATTCACCCACCCACCCACCCAATAACAGGCCGCGTCCAAAACGACCTGTGGCCACGATTTATGGGGTACATAGGTGGAAAGGTAGAGATGGTGTAAAAAGGAAGAGGGAGGAGTAAAATGGACCTAGCTAAGGAAAGCGACCGAGAGACGGGCCGCAGCGAACTCGAGTGCGCAGCCAGCGCAACGCACGACTTAACCCGCAGCGCCAGCGAGACCCGGAGCTCACGGCGCCCCCAGCGAGTCGCGCTCGTGACCAGCCGCGCCTATTGGGGACAGCAGAGCTGGAGTGTTCCGCGGAGCTTCCGGGTGCCCAAAGTGGGAGGTGTGGCCCGCCAGAGCTGGGGTGGAGAGCACAGCCCTGCCCACGCGAGCCGGCGAGCCCAGGCGTGGGTGAGCGCCGCGGGACGCCACGCCACCGGGGCAGAGAGGAACCCACCTCGCTTATTGCGCCTCCATCGGTTGCCTTGGCAGTGGCTGTAATCCATACAGTTCAGAATGATGAGCGCAAAGGAGAAGAGGCGAAACTGCATCTGGACGGTCGGCGAGGGAGAGGCGCCTCTCAGAGCTGGGAACTGGAAGGCTCATCCAAGGAGCCGGCGCCGGCGCGCTGCTGGGGACGACTCGGAGGGCGAGAAGCCGCTAGCCCCGGGGCCGTACGCTTCAGTTTCGCGCCAGCAGCATCTCTCCGCCGTGAACCTGAGATGAGGAGCGACAAACAGGGTGGATGGGGTAGGGAGAATGGAGAGAAGCGCGAGGAGGCAGCTGCGCTTTCGCGCGTCCCAATTTAAAGATGAGATGGGAGGAGGAAGCGAAGCCCCTGCCTGCCACGAGCGGCCGGGCGCACAGCTGAGGACCTCTGGGAAGGGTGATTGCAATCAGTGAATTAGCAACCTCTGCGGGGGCAGAGGCTCCGACCCCGCGGGAAGGACGTCGTGCGGACGCTGTGAAAAACGGAAAGAGCCCTCAAAGCACTAAGGGCAAGGGTTCAAAGAGCGCTCCAGGGCCCTTTGCGCGCTAGGGCAAGGGTCCCGGAGCGCCGCAGTACCGGCGGCCAGGTATGGGTCGCCTACCGTGCGCACGTCCGTCTCGCAGGCACGGCGTGCCTAGGCGCGGCGCTTCATCCCAGGTCGGGAAGTCGGTTGCTTCGCTAGCACGTGGGCCAGGGGAAAGTTGCGGCGAGACACCCGGAGTGCCTGGCAGCTCCGGGATCCCTGTGGCCGCCGCAGGGCAGGCGTGCGCGGAGGGTCGTCTGGGCAGGCGGCTCCTGGCAGAGCTGGCGCCTTCGCGGCCACTGAGATGCTGCGTCCCGCTCGCAAGTGCTATCCGCGGGCAAGGAGCGTGCCTGCTCTCGAACTCCACTGCGTCCCTGTCTAATTGCGCCGCTTCCCGGGCTCTCTCCTCTATATCTTGACGGCTAAGCCTTCGTTCTTTCCAAGCTGTGGGAGACGGAAAGCTCCCGGGAGGCCGAAGAGATGTGGCTGGCTCACTTTCCGATGGAGATGCAGACGGACTGAGGCTCGGGATGCTTCTATAAGTAGGTGGTGCTGTGGTCCAAGGCATCGAAGTCTAGGCGGGCTCGGAGTTCCTGGGTCCTAATGCCAGAAACGCTCTGGTTTCCCTGAGGTCCTAAAGAGCGCAGGCGGTTCACCGCGAGCCTCTCCCTGGGCGAATCCCAGGCCCGGCTTTCCAAAAGGTGATGGCTTATGTGGAGAGTGCCTAGCAACAAAGTGCGCACCAGCTTAGCAGCGCCTACCAGGGAGCCTCGCCATGCACCCACAAGGTGTCCTCTCGGGCGCTGTGCAGCCAGTCCAAGCTCAGCGCCAGCCTTCCTGCAAAGGGTATCTGACTGATAGCTTAGCCTGGACCTTATTTTCTCAGGGCAGGGATCGCTGCTCTCCACCAGAGGAGCTGAACCTCGAGCCTCGGCTCACTAGGTGCCACACCTCTGTCAGTTTTTAATTTACATCTGGCTTTGTTCAATAGGCAAATCTGTTAGCACAGTTGGAATTGAAATGTGAGCTCTATTTAAAAGGGGGGGGGTGACATGGTGTGTTTCCAATAGCTTTTGCTTATCCTCAAAACTGCAGGTTCTTGACCATTTGTCCTCCTGGAAATCTTGCAGAAACCTGTGAGCTCTTGCTTTGCAGTAGTCAAGAAAATTTGGATCTTGATTCCTTAAAGGAAACTTGCTTCCCACTGGAGTATTTCTCTTTTTAAATCATCCTTCCTCCTGTTTTGCTCCCATTCCAAAGTGGGTGCCTTGGACTTGGGCAACTATGATCAACGCAATGTTACATTAAATACCTAACTCCATCTGGTGAGCTGTTTTGTCCCGCATTCACTGCTTGGGAATGAATTTGGTCCTCTGGCAAAACATCAGTCAGACTGCTAGCCGTGGCAGTACAGATATCTCCACAATATGCCCATAGATGCCAAGTTATTATAGTAACATTTCTACCTTTTGAACTCCCTTTTCTGTTCCTTCAGTTTCTTAAGATGTTCAGATAGTTGGAGACTTAAGACAAATAGAATCAACATTAAAATTGTCACTTCACTGGTCCACAGCTGTTATATATGACTCTTTTAGACACTGCAACTGCAATGCAATATTTATGTATGAAGGATTTCAATGTTTGGCACCCGGATTGTGTCCAGTGGGTTAAGCCACAGGCCACAGCACTAGCATCCCATATGGAAGCAGTGGTTCCAGTCCACACTGTTCAGCTTCTCACCCAGTTCCCAGCAAATGCTGCTGAGAAAACAGTGGAAGATGGCTCAGATACTGGGGCCTCTACCGTCTACATGGGAAGACCCAGATAAAGTTAGAGGTTTCTGTTTGGGAAGCAAATCAGCAGATGGAACACCAAAATCTCTTTCACATCCTGTCTCTCCTCTCTCACTCTCTGTCACTCTGCCTTTCAAATAAACAAATGTGGGGTTTTGTTTTGTTTTCAACCCAGTGTTAATTCCTTTGTGGCTAAGGATAACCCAAGATCCTGAGTTGAGATCATTGGTCCCATATCATAGAAAGGAAGAGTCTCCTGAAACTGGCTCACTAGACACACATCAAGATGATAAAATGAGACATGCAGAAGTAGCTGATCTGTTTCTTGGCCTTTTCAATCCTTTGTTTTTGTCACAGAATTTGAAAGCAATTGGAAACACTTCAGCCTAACATAAAGACTTAATCATATTCCACTGAATCCCTTTCCAGCAATATAAATGGATGTCTTTCAGAGTATCTTAACATGTACATTGTATTTAGAAAGGAGTTAAGTCAGGGGGTGAGAACAGTCTCTTTTAAAACCCCCTGCCTTCCTATATAGATAGCTATAGGAGCCAGTCAAGTTCAATCGTTAACACTGAGTGTTCAGCATCACATTTTAAGTCACCTCTTGGGGTGTCTGCATCCCTTATGAAAGGGCTTGATTAGTGTCCAGGTTTGTCTGCTTCTGACTCAGCTTTCCTGCTCATGCACATCCTGGGAGATAACAGATTACAACTCCCCAGCTTAAGTCCCTATCATTCCCACAGAACACCTGGACTGAGCTCTCTGCTGCTGGCTTCCTCATGACTCAGTGCTGGCTATTGCCAACAAATGGGTACTGAACAAGCAGATGGAAAATGTCTAAGTATCTCTTTCTGTATCTCTGGGGTATCTCTTTTTCTCTGTATCTCCCTTTAGAATGGAATGAGAAAATACATTTTTATAAATGATCAATGGTCATCTGTGTCCTACTTAAAAAAAAAAAAACACTTACTTGAAAAGCAGTTTCAGAGAGAGGGAAAGACAGAATGAGAGAGATCTTTCATTCCCTGGTTCACTCCACAGATGGTTACATCAACTTGAGCTGGGTCAGTCCAAAGCTAGGAGCCAAGAGCTCCCTCCAGGACTCTCATGTGGGTGCAGGTGCCCAAGGATGTAGACCATCGTCTGCTATCTTCCTAGACACACTAGCAGGGAGCTGGACCAAGAGAGGAGCAGCTGAGTCTTGAACTGAACTTTGAGTGGGATGTTGAAACTACAGATGTTGGCTTCACCTATGATGCCACAGCATCTGTCTTAGGGTCCTCTAGTTAAAGATAAAAATAAGCACAAGTCCAAGTAGATCTAGCTGTACCGTGCCCCACCTGGATTGCTTTGGGTGAGTCTCTGGATCTGTGATCTTGGCAGTATTTTTAGAAAATTAGATCACTGTTTCTTTCACCTCTTCCACATGCTGCTATATGTTCAAGTTTGTCATTTTAATGGGAAGGAAGAACCACCGTAAGCAATACTCAACAGTGACACAGTTCTCTGTGGGGAAAGAGAGTTACACTGTCAGCCTTAGTTGAATTACATATACCACTTTCAAACTTATCCCTTCAAAGAAACCTTTCTGTAATTTTGTTTAATTATTTAGCTATTTATTTGAGCCACAGAGAAAGAGCACATGCATTTGATAGCTCTGTTCCCAAATGTCCACAAATGACCAGGACTGGGCTAGACCAAAGTTTGGAGCTGAGAACTCGATGCATAATTCCTACATGGATTTCAGGAACCTAATTAAATCGACTGTCACTGCTGCCTCACAGGAAGCTGAAGTCAAGAACTACAGCCTAGGATCAAACCCAGGTAAGCCAATGTGGCACTACTACGTGGGGCACGGTTATCTTAACCACTGGATTAAATGCCCATACCTTCATAATTGCAACCATTAGTCCACTTGTCATTTTGCTGTTTACTTATCGACTTGAAAGAAGAGCAGAGAAAGGGAGAGACAGGTTTTCCATTCAGCGGTTCACTCCCCAAATGCCCTCTGCAGCTAAGGCTAGCCCAGACTTCAGCTAGAAGCCAGGACTTTCAGGTGTCCCGAGTTGATGGCATGGGCCCAAGCACTTCAGCCTTGCCTTGTTGCTTCCCCAGATACATAAAGGAGTTGAACCTGAAGCAAAGTGCCCAGGACTTGAGTGTGCGACGCAGACCTTTCAAGGGGCAACCTCAACTGCTGTGCCCAAACACCCACAGCCAGTTGTCATTTTATTAACCAGATTTATTTCTCATTTAATGAACCCCCTGGAAGCAGTCCATTAAAGAGAATTTTACAGTGCCTTTTCTGTAGAAACTTGGTCAACTTGGCTTAATAGGACAAAAATAGGTTCCGGGAAAAATGAAGACTACTAATTCTCCTTAGGCCCCCTTCTGTTTTGTGTCTGCCTTTCAAGGGACAACACTGAAGCTCAAAAACCTGTCATCCCCAGATTTGAGAATAACCTATGAGTCTAATGTGTTACTAATGCATACCTTTTTGTATTATCTACTGAATATGTTTCCTGATTTCAAGAATCCAGGATTGTTCTTGCTACTAAAAAGTACTCCTTGGCAGATCCGAAACTATACTTAACTTGAATCTGATGTCCCTGCTTCTTTTCACTTCTATCTGAATGTGTTGTTGTTGAGGCTTACAGATCCCCCTGCACGTTTCTTCAATCTGAAGTCAGTAGATTCAGGAAACTCTGTGAGTGGATATGTGCTTTGTCAGTTACTCAT